TGGTGGACTCGGTTTTTGTTTCTTGAAGTCAATCTAAAACGTTTTTGCAAAAAAAACGACAAAAAATACCTTCTCGACAGAGTTGCTAGACGAGCTCGAGGCAGTTGCTTGATTGGAGTCTAAAAAGGGGGAGTTTTCTTGAAGCGAGCGTTACGCAAAATGGAAAGCAAAACCTGATTAATTAATTGTTTGAAAATCCGGAAAAAAACACTATTTATCACTTACTATTGTCTTTCAACACTGGAATGCCAGCACGCGGACGTGGTGGCGGGAGCCTGTAGGGGGGCGTAGTGGGCGCAGGAGCGGTTTCCGCCATCGGTGCACCCTCGACGGGCTAAAATAGCGGTTTTCAATTTCGAAACCGAAGATTTTCAGAAAAATCGGAAATGCCCGAACCGTTCTAACTGCCAATGTAACCAGGTGCGGTTCGGACCCTTACGGTAGTTTTGAGCTGGAGCGCAAATTAGAAACGACAGACTTCGGGGTGAGTAGAAAATGTGTTTTTAGTTTTGTTTTTGTAATAAAAAATGCCGAATTTTCCTGTAAAGATATAAAAGCTACATACCTTTAGAGCGGGATTGTAAGCGCTCATCGGGGGCTCGGCCGGCGTGCCATCGGGGTTTATGTAGCGAATGTTTTGTGAGCTGAAGCTGATGGGACGTGGTGCGGGTGGTCTAAAATCATCCAATACTCATGTTTTCATATATAAGACGGAATAACAGACATTTACTCGGCGTAGAGAGTTTTCCATAGATCTTAGACTGTTAACCTACCCATTGGCGACATATTGGACTTGATGCGTAGCCACTGGATAGAGCGTGGTCTGACCGTGACCTTGGGGAAGCCGCTGTTGATATAACTAAACCAAGATTAATTATATATTTTTATTTCTATCAAACCTGCTGTTGTTGGCTCATGCTAGCTGGCAGCATTTGGGGTTGAGCGCTGACTTGGCGGACTATTCTCGGGCCGGGCTGCTAAAGTTTTGTTGATTTCATGAACTTGATACCCTTAAAAAACGCGTTTTTCCGTTTAACTTACATAGTGTGGATCCGGATATAGCTGGGGTTGAGGGTAGGCTTGTTGCTGCTAAAAACCTAGTTTTAGATTTGAATGATGTACTAACCGGCGCGTAGAGCACTCGTTGGACCAGTTGGCGTTGTGGTGGTTGTCGAACGACTCGAATGAGACGTCCGTCTTCCATTTGAATGTATTCTACAGGGGTGGCGACTTGTTGAGGTTGTTGTGGTGGTTGTATAGTGGTTGGAGAATCTGGTAGCCTTCGGTATTGTATCTGGAATTTCGGTATTATTGATTTTTTTCGAAAGATCTGCTGACGCTTTTGCACGTTATTGAAGCATTATAAGGTATAACTTACCATCGGCGCTTGACCCTGTTGCTGCGGCATAAATTGCGGCTGTTGGTGTTGAAAAGCCTGCGGCTGCTGTTGATGCATCTGTTGATTGAAGGCATCCTGGTAAATCCCTTGATCTCCCAGTGACGTCGACGGGATTTCCTGTTGCCCGTACGTGATTTGTCCATTTTGGTTGCCATGTGTGCCCTGATTTTCGAAGGGATCCGGCTCTCCGGGGAAGAGCGGATTGCCCGTTTGGAACATCGGGTCAGCGTTGCCAAGCATCGGATTTGAATAGTCCGTGTTGCCGAAAAAGGGCTGTTGATCGGGGATCGACATGGCCGAGTTGAATTGACTGTTGTGGGTTTGCTCCATTTGGAGGGGTTGATTGAGCATAGGTTCCGGATTTGCCGAGTAGGTGGGCTGAGCTTCGGCGGAAGTATGCGGGAGCATATGTTGCGGCATCACTAGAAGAGCAGGTTTCCCAGGTGTTATTTAATATTCTTGGGGGTTTTGCGCATCAATAATCATCATCTATTTTTTTTCGAAACTATTAATCATGCACTTTAGCTTCATAAGTGATCTCGACCTACCAAAAGCCCCTTGATCCGGAATATAAGGCTGCGAGGCGGATGGTAGTGAAGTTGCCATAATCTCAAAATTAATTATTATATTACCAGCCCCCATAACCCGCTTCGCGGGCCTTCGGCGCTGGAATGCGGCCTTTGCATGAGAAATTTGACTTTCCGATAGCTTGGGTCCTTCGGAACCCTCCCTTCCTCCGACCACACCCGCGCGTGCAACTTGCAAGAATGAGAAAGTTTGTATTTTTTGGAATTATGCAAAGTAGCCCTCCCTGGCGCCGGACACACACACAGAGATACACCCCAAAATTATATAAGGTATGATATGATTATCATAAAATTAATAAAGATTTCGGTATCTATTTTTGTACTTCTACGAACCTGTTCGGGTGGTGGTTCAATCGGGTGGTGAACGGTGGGCATGAAATTTGCCGAATCCAGCATCTGGTTATTCTGGGTTACGGTAATCGGCATGTGATGCATTTTTTCGTGATGCATGTTGTCTCGAATCTAAAAAATATAAAGTTTTACATTAATGATAAGATCTATTGATCGAGTTGCTGGAATAAAATTAATTTGGGTTTTTACAGTAACCCGGTGAGAACTTTTAGCTGTGAAATCGAATATCGATTGGCTTGTTATTGACTACATAAAAATTAATGTATATTTTAATACATTTATCCACCTGAGATAATGGCACATCATCCTCATCGTTATCTGGGGCCTCTTCTTGCAAGAACATATCTGCCATCCCTTTGTACCCGTCGGCTACGCCGCACAACAAACGACACCTGCCACGACGGGGGCTATCTGAAAGTTCAACGGGGAATTTCGGAATGAAAAAGGGCGCATTAATGGAGGATTAAATGGTTTCTATTAACCGGAAGCCATCGGTTGCCCCAATTCTTTCATTTACAACCGCCCGGGATCCAAACCTTCGCGAATAGATTTTAATAAATCAAAGATTTTTGGAAAATACGATAAAATACAAAAAATCTGCAACGAATATGGTTGAATTCAATAAACAATAATTGCAAATTGGAATATTCAGAAAATCGGTTTCAGAAGTCCATAAATAGCAGAATATTGATCGCTGCAAAAAAATGAAAAATAGCTGTGCTGCGTAAAAAAACTTCTGAAATAAAGAAATACTTGCCATGTTGATGAAGCGCCAGCTCGATTGTTTTAAAAATTTAAGATATTTTTTTCAAATAAATTAGAATTTTTTAAAAATTGACACGTTATCAAACGACAGGTTTTCCTCATTTATTTTTTTTGAATAATTAAATCTCGGTATCTCATTCTTCGGGTGGCTTCGAGAAATACTTATAAGTCTTCGAAAAGTTTAATTTTTTAATCAAAAAAATATATTTTTTGAAAACCTTTAAGATCTATAAAAATGAACGTTTTGCTTTAATTCGAAAGAGCTCCTCAGATTTTCGGCTATTTTCGAACGCTTATCCCGATTTGCCCTAGATCTAGGCTGACTGGCCGATTATCGATTGATAGTGTTCCGAATTCCCCGTAACCTTTAATGCCGCGCGATGAATAGTTTCGAATCTGCGCACCCTGGTTCGAAAATATAAGCTCCAAAAAACCTGGCTAATGGGTTCCAGCTAGAGGGAGCCAAAAAAAACCTTAACCTCATTTTCGGAATCGGCGCTTCACCAGAATTCCAACCGAAAGGCCAAGCCCTTTGGGTCGTTTCCACGGTCTGTTAACCGGAGGGCCCCGGGCCCAAATTCGACCACCCTGGCCCCTGGATACACGTGTGTGTGATTGACTGTATGGGGATGTGGTGCTACAGTTCCTTGCGAGACAATCCGCCCGCGAATGCTCGTGTGGGTTGGCTGGACGGGCGGGGAGGCACATACACACCGCTTTCGGGGAATCGATTCCCAAATTTCTCGGTGTCTCCTCGTTCCCTGGCTGTCTCGCGCTCTTTGCCCTTGTTGCTGTAGTTTCTCTGGGATCTCTCTCGTTGTCACACCCTCTCTCTCTTCTCTGCGCAGTGCTCTCTGGCTGCAAAACTAGGCCCTCCAAATAGTTGGGGGTGTAATGGATGTGTTGCTATCTCTCTGCCCCTATCTCTCTCTCCTCTCTCTCTCTCTCTCACTCTCTCTCCCCTATCTCTCTCTCCCTATCTCTCCCTCTCTCTCGCTTCTCCAGCAACCTCCACTCTTTTCCAAAACATCAGTAGGGAGTCGCCTTCCTATAACAACTCTACTCTCTCTTCACTCTCTCTCTCTCTCTCTCTCTCTCTCTCTCTCTCTCTCTCTCTCTCTCTCTCTCTCTCTTGCTGCCTGATAACCGGAACCGCCATCCCTTGAATAGAGAGCGCGGGAGATTGGCGACAAGCGAGAGAATGCTGTTTATCGCCGAGACTTTGGCGGGAAGCCAAAAACGGAAAATTTGTCGCGGCTCGCCTGATTTTAAGAGTGCAAAATTAAGAAAACACTTTTGAAATCGAAAGAGCTTTCGTAAGAAGGGTATCAAAGTAGTCGTTTCCGGTACTCTTGCCAAAAATGCCTTAAAATTGCAACTGAGGTTAATTTGCAATTTCCTGGAGGGTGTATGCATGTGTCTGGCGGAACACAGAAAAAGTTGGAAAATTTTGTCTAAAGGGTATGTTATGGTAGGCTTGGGCTTAGGCTTAGGCTGTATTTGCTTCATAAGATAGTTGTTGTAATTGTTCTCGTTTTCCAAAATAATCATTTATTTACACACCACGTATCTAAAGCGATGAGGGGGGGCTTTGGAGTAAACAAAATACACAAAAAAATACAATTTAATACACTGCGAAAAATACACATACAAAATACAGAGCTGTACATCTTCTAGCAACATGACACTAGAAGGACGAGCTATAAAATTGACCCATATTGCAGGCCAATTTAGTGACCGTAGATGTGGAGACACTGAGAAGGGGGCATTTTGAGGGCAACAATCACGGTTCAAGTAGGTACAGGTGGACCAGGATGTACTCCAGAATCCACAGGGTGTTTAGAAAAAAACGGAAAGAGTATTGTATCGGAAACCTCGTATTTATGGCATCATATTCACAGGTCTTCGGGAGCCTTGACCGCTTCCTCTGTAAAAAATTTTTTTATAGCAATGGCGAAAACAAAAAAACTGGCGTCATTTTCCCTTTAGCAACCGGCTACGCTATTTAATTACATTTTAAAGTTTTTTTTAAGAATTCTTGTTTTCCTGCGTTTTATTGCAAACTTACGAGTAAACGTGTTTCAATGGAATTTGAGCTAAAAAAAAGGTATAGAAATTACCTTAAACTCCCTATGAAAATGCTACGATACCGTTTTGACCTTGGAAAAAATCTAGAATTTTTTAAAAGTTTTTCAAGCGATACTGTAACTGCTGGAGCCTATTTCCCAGATTTTTCACGATTCACAAAATTGCCTATTTTTCTAGTGTTGTAACCGCTTTAAAGTATCCCCTTCACGACACAACATTCAAAAATGTACCAAATGTGTACCCGCGTTGCTCGTCGACATCCTTATCTTGGCCCCAGAAGCCCTCGCCGACCTTCTCGCCGGTGCCGGCCGTGAACCCGGCGCCATAGGCTAAAAAATCGGGATAAACCTTGTCGACAGGTCTTAAATGTATATGTTAATTTCCAAGATACCTACCGGCTTTATCTCCCAGATTTGCGACTCCTTCCGCCGCCTTTTGCGCGTACGTCTTGGCGCCGTCGACTACGGCCTCGCCCGCGTCATAAACAGCGCCTCCGACGACAGAGGCTCCGTGGGCTAAAAAATATGGAGATATTTATACCGCACTTAAAATACGACTAAAAAGTAATAAATCAAAAATATATCGTATTTTTTTGGCTCACCTGCCCGGTCGGCGCCCTCCTTTGCATATTCATAAGCGCCCTCGCCGGCCGCCTTGGCGCCATCGACCGCCTTCTCGCCGGTCCGCCTCACGAATCCAGCGGCTTCCCCGGCTCCTTCCGCTGAAGAGAGAACAGTATTGAGGTCAGAAAATTGGGGGCTTACCAATATTCTCGCCAGCTCGCTTTGCGCCGTCGGCCAGATTTTGTGCCTTCTCCTTGGCGCCCTCATTGAGGGAACCGGCGTAGTCTCCGGCGCGTCCGGCAGCGTACGAAGCGGTGTCTTCTGGAAACAAACGATATAAACGCTTGACGGTAGTTTTTTTAATATTTTAGGGCAAAATGAGATCAGTTGTGGTGCTCCGGAACGCGATAATTCATCGTTATTTCTCGGATTTCATGGTTTTATGTTTAATTTAGAGATAGATATCCGCGAAATCCTGCCTTCAAAAGCCCCTTAAAAGCCTGAAAGCACAGTACCCATGCTCTCCTTCGCCTCCTTCATCTTATCAGCAACCGCATCGCCAGCATCCTGAGCTTTCTTGGCTAAAAAAAAATGGATGATTTTGAATTTGGAATTTTCCATACCTGCAGCATCACTAGCATTCAGAAGACCCTCGCCGACATTGTCTGTGCCCTCGGCTAAAGAATCGAAAATAGTTTTCGTAAGTTTTCTGCTAATTTGGATCTAACCGAACGACGGATGTCGGGAATCATCTGGTACCCCGGCGTATAGCTCATCCAAGCCATGGGCTGAATTTGGAATTTGAGGAAGCGTGGAATTTCGCGAGCAAAAGGGGATTCGGAGTTACTGTGATATATCAGAATTCATGCATTCTGGTGAATCTAAGCCTAGGCCTATGCCTAAGCCCAAGCGGCGACTGCTCCGAACCCCCCAGCAGTGCAAAAGCCTAGGTACAGTAGGGTGTGCCTGTAAGGACGAGGAAAAGGGGGGAATTACGACCGACAGTGGGGGAGGAAAAGCTTCCATTTTGTATACGAAAGAGTTAGCCACCACCTAGCCCATAGCTCAAAGGGGCTATACTCACCTGCGGCCACACCTGTGTCCTCGATCGTGTCCTTCATCACACCGCCGACACTTCCTAGCAGTCCACCAACGGCATGTGCCATTGATCCTGAAAAATTGTTTGAGTCGTTGTGCAATTTCTAGGCGAGTAATTACAATTGATCTGGCAGCCTTTAAAAAATTACCTAGAGCATGTCCGACGACGTGAACTCCCGTCAACACCTTGTCCGAAATGGTCTCTCCAAGGCTATCAGAGCGCTTCCTGCCCTGTTCGTCACCGTGATCGGCGCGGTATTTGGCATCGTCTAATAAAAATCAACCTAATTTGCGTCAAATCCTCCTCACCAGTCACAATCCTCACGAACTCCTCGCCCTGGTCGCACGTCTCATCGGTGCAAACGTCCATTTCTTGTGCGGTTCCTGAAATTGGGGTTATAGATTGTTATATGAAGCAATTGTACCTTCAGCATCATTCTTCTTCTCCGTGGCCCATTCTTTGGCGTTTTCTAAAAGACACTGTATATACCGTAACGAGTCAAATTACCATTAGCACGGTTCAGCCTGTCTCCAGCGCGGTTGGCATAATCCTTGGCGGTTTCTGAAATTAGAATAAGAATAATAAAGGATATCAAAGGTAATGCATCCCAATTAAGGTTTTTTAAGCTTTTTCCTACCTTTGGCGTCGTGGACCTTATCTCCAGCCTTGTTCAAGGTATCCTTGGCGGCGTCCTTGGCCTCGTACAACTTGTCTCCAGCCCGGTTGGCCGTATCTTTGACGGATTCTGAAACAAACACTCAGTTTTGTAAGACTATTTATTTTTCAGCAACCATGAAGTCACATCTGAGCTTTAAACTTACCCTTGGCATCGCTCAACTTCCTTCCGGCCTTGTTTTTCATGTCCTTGGCATCGTCGACTTTCTCCTCCGCCCAGTCCTTGGCTTCATAAGCCTTGTCTTTGGCGGCGTCTGGAAAAAGGCATTTGAAGAGAAGACTAATATACCGGTGGCATCGCTCAGCTTCCTTCCGGCCTTGTCTTTCATGTCCTTGGCGTCATCAAGCTTCTCGTCAGCCCAGTCCTTGGCTTCATAAACCTTGTCCTTGGCAGCATCTAGAAATTTGAGCCTCAAAAACATGCTTCTCAATTTACCTTTGGCATCGCTCAACTTCCTGCCGGCCTTGTTTTTCATGTCTTTGACATCGTCGACCTTCTCCTCCGCCCAGTCTTTGGCTTCGTAGGCTTTGTCTTTCGCGGCATCTAGAAATTACAGTTTAAAGCCAGGACTTCTAAAATTACCCTTGGCATCGCTCAACTTCCTTCCGGCCTTGTCTTTCATGTCCTTGACATCGTCGACCTTCTCCTCCGCCCAATCCTTGGCTTCATAAGCCTTGTCCTTCGCGGCGTCTGGAAAAGGTATTTGGAGTGAAGCGGAAAATTGTATACCTTTCGCACCGCTCAATTTCCTGGCAGCTGCGTCCTTGGCTTCATAGGCTTTGTCCTTGGCTTCATAAGCCTTATCCTTGACGGCATCCTTAGCCTGTCCCAATTTTTGGCTAGCCGTGTCCTTGGCGTCTTCCAGCTTCTCACCAGCCCAGTCCTTGGCTTCATAAGCTTTGTCCTTGGTGGCTTCTAAAGATATAAAGTTTAAATAGACTTGGCAAGCAGATCTTGGCCAAGGCTTTAAAGACTTACCAGCCGCATCGCTCAACTTCCGGCTCGCCGCATCCTTGGCTTGATAGGCCTTGTCCTTGGCAGTTTCCTTAGCATCTTCAAGCTTCTCACCGGCCCAATCTTTGGCTTCATAGGCTTTTTCCTTGGTGGCTTCTAAAGTTATTAAATTTTTAAGGGCTTGCAGAGCTTTTCGTGGCGATAGCTTGAAAAACTTACCAGCAGCATCACTCAACTTCCGGCTAGCGGCTTCCTTGGCTTCATACGCTTTCTCTTTGGTGGCTTCTAAAGAGTGGCTTAGCGGTAGGTAGTGGCATAATAGTAGCGATAATATTAGCAGTAGTAGCAGTATGAGCGGCATAGGTAAAAGCGTACCCTTGGCGTCGCTCAGCTTCTGGCTGGCCGCGTCCTTGGCGCCTTCCAGCTTCTCGCCAGCCCAATCTTTGGCTTCATAGGCTTTGTCTTTTGCGGCTTCTGAAGGTTTATGAATTTAGATGCTTGAAAAGCTTGAGCTTACCGGCGGCATCGCTCAACTTCCGGCCAGCAGCGTCTTTGGCTTCGACCATCTTCTCGCCGGCCCAGTCTTTGGCTTCGTAGGCTTTTTCTTTAGCAACGTCTAAAGTGAGGTTATACGATATTCAGAACTAAGTGAGGCTAAGCCTAAGCTTAAGCTTAAGTCTAAAGTATCCCTTACCACTGGCATCGCTCAATTTCCGGCCGGCCGTTTCCTTGACCTCTTCCATCTTCTCGCCAGCCCATTTCTTGGTCTGGTACGCCTTTTCCATGGCGACTTCTGTAAAAAAATCTTTAATGAACGATACCTTAACCATACCTTTAGCATCCTCCAACTTCTCGCCTCCCCATTCCTTGTACTCCTCGGCCTTATCGAGCGACGCTTCTAAAATCAGGGATAAGATCGAACTTTCGGGGACTAATCCCACGTTTCAGATCTTGGAGCTTCTCGCCGGCCCACTCTTTAGCGATGTACGCCTTTTCTAGTGCTATTTCTAAAACTACTGACTAGCTGCGTTCATTATCACGACATTCACTGACTCAAAGTATCCGTTAAAAGGCTAACCCTTGGCATCCTCCAACTTTTCGCCGGCCCATTCCTTGTATTCGCCGGCCTTGTCCTTGGCGACTTCTAAAAAAAGGAAAATGAATTTAGTAGGACTGCTGTTAAAGTATTTATTAAAGATTATATTGATTTAATACGGAAATGTAGAGCTATTTTAACTGGTTTGGTGCCATACCTTTAGCATCTTCGAGCTTCTCGCCAGCCCATTCTTTGTATTCGCCGGCCTTTTCCTTGGCCACGTCTGAAAATGGAGGTATTCAATTAGTAGAATGGCTATTCAACGATTTAATGCATTGCATGCCTTAATGCCAAAAATCGTAGCTTAACTTGTATTGAAAATTTTACCTTTAGCAACTCCAAGCTTCTCGCCGGCCCATTCCTTGTATTCTCCGGCTTTTTCCTGGGACACTTCTGAAATTATTCGAATTATAGCTTTGTTTAATACTATTATCTATTTACATTATTACTTAATACGTTAAGGAAATTAAAAGTATGTTAATCTATGTAAAATCTCACCTTTAGCGTCTTCCAACTTGTCCGCAGCCCATTCGGTGACGACATCTAAAAATGGATATCATTCATTGTTGTCATTTTTAGTATACCTTTGGCATCAACCAGCTTCTCGCCAGCCCACTGAGCGTATTCCTTGGCTTTTTCTAAATTTTTCATAACCAGATAGCCCTCATTTTCGATACCTTTAGCGTCTTCCAATTTCTCTCCGGCCCAGTCTTTGTACTCTTCAGCGGTTTCTGAAGCAAATTCATTATATTTCTTACGAATTCCCCGATGATCTCTCCTAGCGAGCCTAGCCAAAAAATCAATCACTAAGGACCTCTGCTCGTTCCCCCAACCCTTCAAATTCCTACCTTTAGTCCATTCCTTCGCATCTTCAGCCTTCTCCTTAGTGGCCTCTGAAAAAGTTACCCTACTTTCAAACCATTTTACAACCAAAATTTTTATTCGCAAATTAATACAGCAGTGCTGAAAGTCGATAAAGTGTACAGAAGCAACTGGCTTTGGTTTTTCAACAACTAAACTAGCATCTTGTATAGCTTCAAGATATTTAGATATGTTTAGAAGGGCCGCTGCGGGGGTTACGGGTGCTTTTATAACCTCCTCCCGATCCGTATCTTTACGTATTTAGTGGAACGCGTGTTTGAGGAAGGCTAAAAGTTGGCGGTTGGGTTGCGGTATTAGTTTCGGACGCGGTCTACCTTTAGCCCCCTCTACTTTGTGGCCTGCCCAGTGTTTGGCGTGCTCGCACTTTTCTACCGCCGAATCTAGATTTTAACTATCAGCTAACAAAAGGCCACATGATAAGCTTTAGCAAGCGAATTTAATAAAACGATACCTTTAGCGTCCTCGAGCTTGTCGCCGACCTTGTCAGCAGCGTAACGGGCACGGTCTGGAAAATGGGTCCATATTTTGGCAGCTATTCCCGCTTTTAAAGCTTAATGGATACCTTTTGTATTGTAATAAACTGCTTTAAGAGATATAGAAACGTTAAATTACGCTCAAAAAGCGCAACAAATTTGGTTTGTTTATGAGCTATCCAAAGTGGTCCTCTCAGATTAAATTGCCGTCTACAGGATTGCTGCGCTAAAATGCAAAATGCCATTCTTATTAATGGATACCCTGAAAACCTTACCATTAGCGGTCTGGATAGTGCCTCCGGCCCACTCAATCGTGTGCTTGCCTTGCTCTTTCGCGTCGTGAAGCTTGTCCTCGGCCCATTCTTTGGCGTCTTCGGCCTTGTCCTTGATCTTGTCTATAAAAATAATAATTTTTTATAGCCATAAAGGTATCTGCTTATTAACTATGAGAATTTTCAGGTAAAAAATTACCCTTGGCATCGCTCAGGCGCCTCTCCGCTTTGTGCTTGAGGTCCTTGGCCGAGTCTTAAAAAATGCAATAAAGCATAGAGTAAGGAATTTACCGCTAAAAACACATCATATTATTTTAATGCAGTAACTTTAGTCATAACCCATACCTTTAGCATCCTCAGCCTTATCCTTGGCCATGTCCTTGTATTCCTCAGCGGTTTCTTTGGCGGAGTCGCTGGCATCGCTCAACTTCCTCTTGGCCTCGTCCTTGTATTCACCGGCGGTTTCTGAATTATAGGGGGTAATCGATTAAACTTCACTACGTTCTAAGAAATCAAGAAACTAAGTTTCACGGCACACAACAAGGGGGCCATGCGGGTCTTTCCACTAACCTTTAGCGTCGTCAATTTTCTCCCCGGCCCAGTCAAAGTATTCCTTAGCAAATTCTACAAATTTTGGAGTTTTGAAAAGCGCTGAAAATTTTACCTTTGGCCTGTTCCAGCTTCTGTCCGGCCCAGCTCTTGGCTTCCGAGGCTTTGTCTTCGGCGGTTTCTGAAAATGAGAGTTTTGATCTTCAAATATCCTTTTGATAAAACTTTAAGAAATGAAAGGTTTTTATTCATGCTCACCCTTGGCGTCGCTCAATTTCCTTCCGGCCTTGTCCTTGACTTCTTCCATCTTCTCACCGGCTTCATCCTTGTATTCGCGGGCGGTGTCTAAAGGAAGGTTACGTGATGTAACTAGGTATGTAATTCTCTCTCTCTCTCTCTCTCTCTCTCTCTCTCTCTCTTTCTAGCTTACCTTTGGCATCGCTCAACTTCCTTCCGGCCTTGTCTTTCACTTCTTCCATCTTGTCTCCGGCCTTATCTTTGTACTCGCGGGCGGTGTCTGAAGTAAATTTCGATAAGGCTTTGTTATCTCTCTCTCTCTCTCTCTCTGTCTCTCTCTCTCTCTCTCTCTCTCTCTCTCTCTCTCTCTCTCACCCTTGGCATCGCTCAACTTCCTTCCGGCCTTGTCCTTGACTTCTTCCACCTTGTCTCCGGCCTTGTTCTTGTATTCACGAGCGGTGTCTAAAGGAATAGTTCGTACTGTGAGTTTTCTAACGTACCCTTGGCATCTTCCAGCTTCTCACCAGCCCAGTCCTTGTACTCCTCGTACTTGTCCTCGGCTTGGTCCTTGTAGCTTTCAGCGGTTTCTAAAACACCATGTCTCTATCTAACAACTGCTCTACCGTACCCTTGGCCTGGTGGAGTTTATCTTGTGCTCCGTCCTTCATGGATTCGGCCTTGTCTCGGAGGGATCCAGTGGCATCTCGGACGTTTTGTTTGACCTCAGCACCAAAGCGCCCTAGAATGAGGGAGGTAGAGGGCGAGAGGAGAGAGCGAGAGAGGAGAGAGAGAGAGAGAGGGAGAGAGAGAGGGAGAGAGAGAGAGAGGGAGAGATTGAATAAGGTAGCTTACTTCCGTCTTCTTTGCCGGCTTGGTATTCTTGTTTAATGTGGTTCTCCATGCCCTCGTGGCACTCGGTGCCGTCGGCGTGGCAGTGGCCCTCCTTGAGGGGCTGGGTGGAGTGGGGGTTGGAGCGCATGTCAATGGTATCGGCCTGGAATGAGTAGATTGGGTTGGGCTTAGGCCTTAGGCTTAGGCTTAGCTTAGGCTTAGGCTTAAGCTTGGGTTTTAGGCTTAGGTTTAGGCTTCGGTAGAGAGGCTGGTTTAGGCTTAATTGAAAAGCGCTCCTATTTATCCCCTTCAAAAATGTTAACGTTTAATCTTTTACCTTTCCAATACCCTTAAACTAGAAAAATCAGATACCCAGACCCCCAAAGCCCTCTTACCATTTAGTAAGTCAATAAAATTTTAGTGATAGTGCGATAAATATCGTAGAGTCACCGCGTAATTCTTGTCGGGTTACAAAATCCAACTGATGACACTTTCAGGGGTACCCCACTCCCGAAAGCCCACCGTAAACAAGGGGGCGGAGTCAGACTTTGGTAGAAAAACCCGAGTCAGCTAGGGATGAGGGAAATTTGGTAGAAAGAGGGAGACAAACAGCAGACGGTAACACTAAAGGGATCGGAAAACATGCCCTCTCGGGGCGTCGTTGCGAGTAGTGCACCGGAAAACAGGGTTTTTTCGGGATGGGAAAGAGAGATGCTAGCTGATAGCGACCTGTTGATTTGACGGGCCAAACAAAACAAAGGGCTTTGGGTACATGATGAGGGTTCGAGGTACACGTATCGAGGTGTTTTCCGGAGTTCCCAAAGCAAAATGGGGTTTCGGGGGACTAGAGGAAAGTGGAAGCATTTGGTTTTTCGTTTCTCGACAGAAAAGAAGAGGGGGGTTGAAATTGGCTTTTTCGTACCAATAATTTTCCACTGAGATATTTTTAAATGTATCATTTAACGAAAAATAAAATGTAAGGCGGCTTAAGTACCATAAGTCACTTCCCTTGAACGGTCTTGCCCGAAAACCGTCAGCTTATTTATTTTTCTAAAGTTGGGAAAAAAATCATGGAATTGAATCGATTCAAGGTATCGATTTTTAGGAAGAGCCTGGTTTTGTTAATGCATCAAATAATATGAAAAAATTTTTTAGGGTAAAAAATCAAGCTATTACAAGTACTCACCATTCCCAGCACGACCATCGAACACGAAACCCATACCAATGGATTTGAGAAAAGCTTCATCTTGGCTGAAAAGAAAAAATGATTAAAATGGACATAGTCGTGAAAATCCGTGATTTTTAGAATTTTCGAGGTGTTTTTTTAAGGGACGAGGGCGCCCTTACGTCTAGACCAGACGGGCCGAGGTATACGGTAAACAAGTGCCCGTTCTCTGGCGCAAAAGGGCTAGGCCACCAAAAAACACGGGCCGCACGGGGCCTTCGATTTTTTGGGAGTTAGTAAGAACGTTGCCCGCTTTACGATAGAATATCCTAACGAAGTTATCACTCAGCATGCTGTTTTTTAAAGTGAGATTCTGCTAGTTTGAGAGATCAGAAATCGGGCGCCCCTGAAGAACATTGTAAATATCTACTAATTGTCTTAAAACGCAAAACCTCGCCTTAATTGTTTATGCAAAATTTGCAGCGGTTTGCTTCGGTAAATCCCATTTTATGAAAAATCGGTTTTTAAGTTTTTTAGCACTTTTCACAAAAATCCGAGGTTAAAATAAGCGTTTACAAGCACTAAAAACGGATTCAACAACTTTATTTTGGATTCGATGAAACCTGAAGCCCAACATTTTAATAATGATTTCCTTTAGAACCCATAAGTTTTTCTAGGGACATGAAAACACTAGAATGACGCCGAGTTCGATAGGGCTTAAACCGACGCTTACCTGATTCAATAATCGCAGCAATCGATCGCTATTGTTGTCAGCAGTAGGAAAATTCTCGGGTGCAGAAATTTGCATAAAACTTGCGGGTATATAGCGCGCGGGATATTCGAGCTCAGAAAATTTTCGTCGAATGAGGCCGTAGAGGGGGGTGTGTAGGCCTGGCGGGGGTGCTTGTTTTTCTCGCAGTCGTCGTCGTTCTCTTCGGTTTGTCTGTCGAAATATGCGCAGCAGCCACAACAACAACGCTTGCACTTTTAGGGCGTATTTACTGGTGCTGTGGGGGGTGTAGAGGGCCCAGGCAGCCTCTGCCTTATATCCCGGGCCGCCCCTATTTTTCGTCTTTGCCATCGGGGCCCTCTCACTCTGCCCCACTATTTCTGTCGGTTGCACTATGGCATTGGAGAAAACAAAATGCGCATACGAGCGTTTTGGCCCGGTAGAAAGATTTCGAACAATCAGGGGGACTCGCGTGTTGATAAAACGTGGATATCTTGGGTTTTGGGGCAAACTCGTTAATTGATCCGATGGGACTGAGCTGTAAAAAAAACGAGGGGAAAACCGCGCTCTCTATAGACTCTTGTACGCCCGAGCCTAAGCCTAAGCCTAAGCCTAAGCCGAAGCCTAAGGAAAAGCTTAAGCCTATGCCTAAGCCTAATCATATGCCTAAACCGAGCTTAAGCCCAAGCCTAGGCCTAAACCGGAGCCTATGCATATGCATAAGCAAGCCCAGGTCGATTTCTCTGCGTAAGCTTATGCCTAAGCCTAAGCCTAAGCATAAGCCCAAGCCTAAGCCCAAGCCTAAGCCTAAGCTTAACCTAAGCCTATGCCTATGGTTATGCCTTAACTTGTAAGCATAAGCCTAAGCCCGATCCTCTTCTGAACTTTCTTTGTAGTCTACTCCCTTATTTTACATACCTGAAGCCCTCGACAAATATTTTCTCAAACCCTCGATGAACCCCCCAAAAAACATTCTAGTCCTTTCCGGCCAAAAAGTGCATGCATAGTGCACCGTAGCCCGGCGGCGCCGATTTGAATGGTGTTTGGGGTAAACAACGCGACGCTCCTCCGCTCCCCTCTGCTGAAAGGGCAATTTTCTGCCCGTCGACTCAGAGACTGGACTTGGGTCGAAAATGGCCGACCGCCCGCAACAATGACGAATCTTGTAATCGGGCAGGAATTTTGAAAATAAATGACAGAGTGAAGGCTTAATGGGGTAACGAGTTTATGAGAAAAACTTAAAATAATTGAATTGAATTGAAATCAAGAAAATTACCGTAAAAAGTGACAACTACCATGGCTCCGCGTAGGTAAGCAACCTTTTATTAAAGAAACCCTTATTTATGCCCGGGATTATCGTATATAAAATGTACCTTAAAGCCGTTAGCAGCTCTCATTGTAAGGTGGTCTTTTAATTTTTTTTTGTAGTTCTTAGGTTATACCACTTTTCAAATAAATTTTAGACGATACCCATAAGAAGCAATGTGCGGTCACCACGGTATATCATCAAAAAGTACCAACCGGGCCAATCCATCAAATCACTCTGGCTTTTTCGTGGGCACTGCGCGAGAGATGGGGGATCAAAAGTGATACTCGAACTCATCCCACTTGGTAATATCCCTGTAATCGATTGAACTATAGAACTGCCTAATGCCGGCCTATAACCCAGAATATTTCCATGCCGATTCCGAGGTCGTACCTAATGAAGAAAGTGGATTTATTGAGATCCCCACTGAAAAGATTTTGGATACTCCTTATTCCTGGAGCTTAGTTGAAGCTGATCTACAAAAATCACTGAAGACTGAGTCGACATTTGGACCGAAACGTAGTGCCGTGAAATGTGGTGATGGGGGCGTAAGTATTTATGGTATGATTTTGGATAGAGTTGTAGTCCTTGAAAACCAATAAATTTGCTCTATTCAGGGCTTCGTCTCCGATGTGATACTCTTGACGTTTGATTGGACCCCAAAAAGCACGGAGCTACCGGAAAAGGCTATATTTAAGGTAGCACCCCCCCATCCAGTGACTTTTTTGACCTTTAATTTCTTTAACGGCTCCTAAGCCTAGCTTTTTGGCTTCATTATAATCTTCTCGGCGATTTTCCAGGTGACAACGAGCAATTCCGTTGCTGGAATTCGGAAAACCCTAAAACAAACCGGAGATGTTGAGGAAATGCTACTAGAAAGAGCGGCTCAAGTTAGCAAAACGTCATCCTTCAACGTCCCTTTAGATCCACAATAACGAATATTTCATCTATGCTAATGCGGCTGAAACCTGGAACTTCCCCACCGACATTGGTTTCCCTAAATTTTACTGCGGCAGGGAATTTGATAAAGTCGAGCAGAAAGCTGGTAAAAATTTATAAAGAATTGATTCATTTAAATTCAACCGACAAAATTGATCAGTATAACTCTCTAATCTATAAAACATCATAATTTCAGGCTATTTCATCGCTGAATACGTCCCAAAAGTCATCTTCGTCCAATATTATCACAATCTGCCAATCCGCGCCGTCGGCCAGGCCGTCGAGGTGTTGGCAAAGATGACGGCGCATGGTATTTATAGTTAATTTTGTATTTTGGCTTTAATATCTTTCATTCTAATTCACTAGTTGTGCACTTTCAGTCATTTCCAACCCAAAAATCGTTGAACACCTCAAAAATTCGACTAGCCAAGGAGTGGAAGAATATCTGAGGGAGCTTATCAGGTTGAGGCATGTTTTCTCCGTTCCATTACTTTTTAAAATTTTTATTTATATCAACAATGATTATTTTTACAGGTATGCCGCTCAAACCTCGAAAATATGGCCGAAAAGTTTCCTCAACTGGCAAAGGCCGCAAAAACGCTCGAGCCACTAGTGCCGATTTCCGGAGATTTCCAAAAGCTGAAAGCGGAATGCGGGAAATACTGTATTTTTGAAATTTATCAGAGCAAAGTCAAAATTAAGGCAAAGCTGAACTTCTTGCCCATTTTGACTACCATCTCGGAAATCTGCTGTGGATCCATGATGACGCCGGGGATTTGGCGCCTCATGCCATCATTGATTGGCAGGTAACGAATAGCATTAGCTTTAGCAAAACGCTTGAAAAGCTATAAGAACCGAATTATGGAAATTCCAAATTATATAGACTTCACATATCAACAACCCGCTAATCGATTTGGTGCGAATTTTGATGACTTCGCTCTCAAAAACGGATTTTTCCAACAGGTAAGCGGGAAAACATTATTTCCGATCGTTTGTTCTTGTAGTCTTTACGATCTTCTCGACCTCTACTATCAAACACTTATCAAAAACTCTAAAAAGTCGATCCCCTGGTCGGATTTTGAAAATGTAAGTGTTCACGTACGAAAAATGACAGTCCTTTCAGTTTGTAAAATGCTTCGAGCACGTATTCCCGCTTGTCGCCACCCGCATGGCCACATTTTTCGCTCTGGAAAACTTTGTGGAGCGAATCGTGGGGCGCGTTCCAGGCTCGTTTAATCCTCTATAGTCCAAAAAGCCAACCTTTAGAATCCGAACGCCTTCTGGCCGCCCGATGCTGCCACCAGAAAATGGAGTCCGCAATCGAGTTTGCCGCGCAATGTGTGCAAAAGTGGAAAATGAACTTTTAATTTTCATAGAACTTTTTATGAAACGATTTATCGATAAAGATACATGAAATAATGAATATGTGGCATTACATTGCGGCCTGAAGAAAGTATAGTCCGGTTCTGTTTAGTTTCATAAGTGTTTTGCTTGATTTTAGTAACAAAAAAAACTTTCATTTTTTCTTTTATCGAAATTTTGAAGTATCCACTCGCCCCTCCTTGCAAAAGGCGTCGTGTGAAGCCCCCCGGAACGGTTTCGAATAGGCTGGCGTAATCGGCTCCGGTTGGCGCTAAAAATCTTTCCGACTTTTTTTTGAACAAACCTCTCTAAAAATTTGCAACTTTTGATAATATTTTCTTACTATTTGCAAGTTTTAAAAGATATTTTCTTTTTGCAGCCCATGTCCGGCTTTGGGAAACGACCGACGCAGGGCAATGCCGAGCACACGGCGAAACGCAAGAAGGAAGAAGTAAGCGGATTTTGGCGGTGTATCGTTGCTTTTTTAGGCAAGAGATGGAAGTGCTTACGAGACCCATCTGGCCAAGCTTGCCGCTAATACCTCTCCGTCGAAACGCTCGATTCTGGACCGCACGAAGTGCCAGCGGCCGAAGCCAGAGACCCCCGATTTCACGACGACCAACTTTTCGATGCAGGTCTAAAAGTTTTTCTGGGTAGTAAAACGATTTCTTTAGGTCTTGGAGGTTGAGACCTTCTACGAACCAGGCAGTGCAACGAGCTACGATCGGACTAATGTTCGGCTTTTCGGTAAAATATGAATCTTTAATTATATGGTTTTTTAGGCATGACGATGGAGGGCAATTCGGCTTGCGTGACCGTCACCGACTACTTTCCACATTTCTATTTCCCGGCCCCGTCGGGCTTTGCTGCCGAGCATTTAGGTAGAGATTTTGCGTCTTGGCAATTTCTTTTTTTTAGATACGGCTCAACGAAACATGAACACAGCCATTGCCAACAATCTTCGGCGGGCTTCTTCAAATACGAATCTTAGTGATGTTGTCATCAACAACCTCGTGCACCTGTCGATTGTCCAGGGCGAGGGGTTATACGGGTTTAAAGGTATGCAAAACGCCTAACTCCCAAACTTGACATATTTTTAGGCTCCAACAAAAAGTCGCCATTCATAAAAGTCACCGGAACCACAGCCACGTTGAATAAGGCAAAACAAGAACTCAAAAATGGCGTGAATCTTATGGGTCGAGGCTCTGATTCGGTATATATTGATTTATTACGCGTTTTTATAAGCTTTTTGAGGTTGCCCAACTCTTCGAGGCGAACATTGATGCCGAGGTGAAATTCATGGCTCAGAGCGGCGTGGTCGGGTGCGGATGGATCGAGATTATGGCGTACAAAAGCAAGATGCCGTTGCAGAACAAAACACAGTAACTTTATTGCTATTTTTTTGTACTTTTTAAAGTTGTCAAATCGAGCTGATCGTATCGGTTGATGATCTGATCATCCATGCGCCGGAGGGGACTTGGGGGAAAGTGGCGCCGATTCGGACCCTTTCTTTTGATATTGAATGTATGGGAAGGAGAGGTAAATTTTACGTTTTTACGTTTAGAATTCTTTCAGGAATTTTCCCTGAGCCTGAGCATGACCCTGTCATCCAGATCGCTTGTATGGTGAAGATTGAGGGAACGGTATGAAACGTAAAAAATAATTACTTGTTGTCCTTTTAGCCGGAACCATTCCTCCGCTGCTGCTTCGTACTCGGGACTTGTGCTCCGGTTATTGGCTCGGAGATTATCCAATGTGCCACCGAAAAGGAGCTGCTTGAAAAGTACGATGATTACGAGCTACTTCACTAATTTTTGTTCTAGATGGACCGATTTTGTCCGTCTCGTCGATCCGGATATCCTGACCGGCTATAATATCCTCAATTTCGACTTGCCCTACATTTTGGATCGAGCAAAGGTATATTTACATTATAACTTTTTATATGTTTTTAGGCGCTCAAACTCCCAAAAGTGGCGCTCCTTGGCCGGCTGAAGGACAAGGCCTCCTCGGTCCGTGAATCCACCCTCAGCAGCAAGCAAATGGGCTCCCGTGTTAATAAGAATATCGACATTCACGGGCGTGTGATTTTTGATGTTTTGCAGGTAATATTGCCCTTCTTGGTGTTACTCCTGATTTTTAGGTGGTCATGCGAGACTACAAACTGCGCAGCTACACCCTCAACTCGGTCTCATACCACTTCCTCGCTGAACAAAAGGAGGATGTTGAGCACAGCACCATTCCGGATCTCCAGATGGGCGACGATCAGACGAGACGACGGTATTACGTATCGATTTTGATAAAATCGACGTGTTACAGATTGGCGATTTACTGTATGAAAGACGCAGCGCTGCCCCTTCGCCTTCTCGACAAGCTGATGTCCATCATCAACTACATGGAGATGGCCAGGGTCACCGGGGTGCCGATCAACTACCTATTGACGAGAGGCCAGCAGATTAAGGTGTTTTTAAAACCAATAAACCCTTACGTTTTGATTTTTAGATTCTTTCTATGATGTTGAGAAAATGCAAAACGGAGCATTTCTTCTTGCCCGTGATCGAGGTGCAGGGCGGTGATGATGTTGGGTGAGTACTAATCTCTGAAATTTAAGCTTTTTTAGTTATGAAGGAGCCACCGTCATCGAGCCGATCCGCGGCTTTTACCGCGAGCCGATTGCCACCCTCGATTTTGCCTCCCTGTACCCCTCCATCATGATTGCGCATAATTTGTGTTACACGACTTTGCTAAAGGCAAGCTTTTGCAGTAGACAAATCATGATATTTTTTTTGATTTTCAGGGTCCGGTGGACACAATGATCGAGGGAAAAGACTACACTCGCACTCCATCCGGCAACTTCTTCTGCACAAGGACGCATCGCAGTGGCCTTTTACCGACAATTTTGGAAGACCTACTGTCGGCCAGAAAACGGGCAAAGAACGATTTGAAGCGCGAGACCGACGAGTTCAGAAAGATGGTGCTGAATGGGCGACAGCTGGCTTTGAAGGTAAAAGGTTTTGAATAGATACTCAAACTTTGATTCTTTAGGTTTCCGCCAACTCCGTGTATGGCTTCACGGGCGCCACCGTCGGCAAGCTGCCCTGCTTGGAGATCTCGCAGTCGGTCACCGCCTTTGGGCGCCAAATGATTGAGCTGACGAAAAAGACCGTCGAAGATCAATACAAAAAGGGAGCCGTGGATGGGAAGTGCCCTCAGGATGCCAAGGTAAATAATCTGGCCGGTAAAAGCTAAAAAATCATACTCTAGGTCATCTACGGTGACACTGACTCGGTGATGGTCAAATTCGGAGTGGAAACCGTAGCCCAGGCTATGGAAATTGGCCTCCACGCCGCCACGGAAGTCTCCAAGATTTTTGTCGCCCCGATTAAGCTGGAATTTGAAAAAGTAGTTGTTTAGTTTTTTGATGAGCCAGGGGTTTTTTAGGTCTACTACCCGTATCTGTTGATCAACAAGAAGCGCTACGCGGGCCTCTACTTCACCAAGCCCGACAAGCACGACAAGGTGGATTGCAAGGGTCTCGAGACGGTGCGCCGTGACAACGCTCCTCTCGTCGCGAAGGTGCTGGGGACTTGTCTGGAGAAGCTGTTGATCGATCGGAATGCTGATGGTCAGTTTTCGAGCGGAAGTATATTTATTGAAATTTGTTTAATGAAATTCATGATTTTTCTAGACGCGCTTGCCTATGCGAAGAAAATGATCTCGGACCTCCTCTGCAACAGAATCGACATTTCGATGCTCATCATCAGCAAGGAGTTGACGAAGAGCGGAGATGTGAGAATTTTGCATATTTTTGCAACTGAAAGTAATTTAGAAATACCAATCCCGACTTCCACACGTTGAACTTGCTGCCCGGATGCGGAAACGTGACCCGGGATCAGCACCGCGGCTCGGCGACCGTGTCCCTTACGTTATTAGTACACAATGTAGTCGTTCGCACACCTAGATACCTTCCCGACCACGCGACAACAGATACCCCCATAACCGAAACCCCTTCAAAACTACCTAGATACCTTCCCGATGGTCAGATACCCCCATAACCGAAATCCCCTTCAAAAACTACCTAGATACCTTCCCGATGGCTTCAGATACCCCCCATAACCGAAATCCCCTTCAAAAACTACCTACATACTTTCAGCCCCACCCCTTCCACTGTAGCGCATGTAGGGTAACCCTGAGCCAGAGCCCTCCTTGCGACCCGAAACTGAGACCTCAGTTCGCTGGTTAATACCTTAAGTAAAACTTTCAAAGTTAATTTTAATAATTTATCAACTTTTCATGATTTTTTTTATCAGTTTGGGGTTTCTGACCACGCTCTATCCGAACAAGAGCCTAAGCTCTAGCTCCTTTCCCCTTCGAGTTGAATTCGGCTTCAGACACACTGACGCCTCAAGAAAATTATTATAGTTGATTGGAAGGTTAAAAATTGATTTTCGTTTTAGTGGCCGGAACCAAAAATATGGCCGCCTATGAAAAAGCCGAGGATCCGAACTACGTGCTGGAGAATAACATTCCGCTCGATACCAGGTAAAAAAAAACTATTTTTTGCAATCTTTTTGTATTAGGTACTACCTCACCAACCAGCTGGCCAAGCCGTTGGCCCGAATTTTCGACCCGATTCTCGATGGAAAAGCCGAGAAAATTCTGCTAGAGGGGGAGCACACCTTGACGAAGACGGTCGTCCAGCCAAAGGTATAGAAACGTTAAGATAATTCAAATATTTTTTTAAGGTCGGCGGCTTGGCGGCGTTCACCACAAAATCGAAGACGTGCCTCGGCTGCAAGGCCGTTCTCAAGGGCGACCGGAAAGACTGCGCAACCTGTGAACATTGCAAGGAGAAGCAGGCCGATATTTATGCTACCAGGTTAGACAAATTTAGTATATAAAACACCCGAGATTTTAGATGCGCCAGCGTGAACGCGCTCGAGCACAACTTTTCCCGACTCTGGACCGAATGCCAGAATTGCGCCAAGACGATGCACGAGAAGGTTAGAATTTTATTGATTTGAAAAAACCTTAAAAATCTAGGTGAACTGCTCGGCCCGGGATTGCCCGATCTACTACGCGCGCGAGAAGGTGCGCGGCGACCTGAAGGAGGCCTACGAGGTTATGGAAAGATTCGGGGACCCCTGCTGGTAGAAGCGCCACCCCCCTTTTCGTCCCCCACTTGTAATTTGGTTTAAAAGTGTCTTGTTCTCTTTACATTGTGTAATGTTGCCCCTCCAGTTCTTTGGTCTCACTACTTTACCCTACGCGGATACGAGTCACGATTGTCGCTATCAACCGGTACCGTTTGTAAATGAGTTTTATCGCGATAAATATTGGATAATATTATCGAGATCACATAGCACAAATATGCGCGACTTTTGAATTTATCTCATCTGTCAGTTTGATTTTTTCAAGGCCCATTGTGCCGAAAATCACCAAGGTACCCAAGTTTCCGAAAACCCGCTGCACTTCCCCCTGAAACCTATTCTTGATTCCATGATTTTGCTACTATTATTATTAGATCTGGTCGCAAACTATCAGTGCAACATCAACTATACATTTGTGCAACAACGACGCTTCAAGCTGCCCGATTACCAGCTAATCAATCTGTGCGCCCTAGATTGCATCGCGATGCGCAAAACTACGTATTCTTGCGTGGGATTCAATATCGCCGGTAGTGAAATTAAATTAAAAGCGACCAGGGAAAAAAAAAAAAACCGCGGGGGGGCGCCGGGGGGGGGGGGGGGAACAAAAAAAAAAAAAAAAAAAAAAGAATTTTTTAAGAAAATAAAAATCATAAGGGTCCCCCCTTATGAAATTTTCGGGCCCCGGCCGATTTCGGGGGGGGGGGCGGGCCCAGGCGGCCCACCTTACGCTACGTCCCTGTGCCTAACAAAGAAGTTTTCACAAAAACTTGAATTTAATGTCGAAAATAGGTGATTTTGTTGAATCTCTTATGCGTGCAGTCATCTCCAGGCCATTACGCACCTAATGACGTATCATACATACCTTCAAATTCATCCCCGATCGAGATATCCTCCGGACAGACAGACGGAAGTGGATGCAAAGTGGCACACACAGACACACACATAGACACACAAACACTATTTCTTATATTAAAAGCTATAAAATTATGAGATTTGGCATGTATTTTTCAAGCAGAAGATAGCGTGCTGAGCTAAAATAACGATGGGTAGTGAACCACAAACCTAACAAGAAAGCTTGAGGCGGAAAATGTAGCTATCCACTCAACGGCCAGGCGATGGATTTTCGATATCAGAATGTTGCAAAAACCTCGAAATGTCATAAGAGTCCACCGCTGTCGCGTAAGTCGCAGTTTTACTTCCCTAGCATCGAGCATGACTCAAATTTTGTGGTAAGAAATCAATTTAGTTCAAGTCTGCGCCGGTGGTTTCAAATTTTTCCGTGGTTGGTGCTACCTGGTCAGTGATCGAACCAGGAGTCCGACTCTTCAATTTACAGGTTTTAACCGGATCAACGTACGATCTGGGGTCAGCCATTTCGAGGTGTGCGTTAAAAGGCGCGGCTCTCGCCTCCATTCACTCCCACGCCGACAATGAATTCGTTTGGAGTAAGTTTTAAGTTTTATAAGTCAGAAGGCTTTATTAGCAACTTCGCATTTTTAGATTTTATAATGAGTTTCTGTTAAATATTGTTTTGTCTCTAGGGCTGACGTACGGACCCAAAGGAAAAGCCATATACAATGGCTGGAATTACCCGACAATCATGCTGGGCGGAGTGCAGTATGCCGGAGCCAAAGGTGCCAAATTTGTCATTTTTAGTGATAACAATTGTTTTATGGCGTCAGGACAACGTAACAAGAGTTTTAGGAATCTACTGGGTTGACGGCAGTGCAGTTAATTTTACAAATTATGTAGACAAAGTGAGAGGCAAGGACGGGGTGCCGATTGTCGTAAGTCCGACTTATGCGTGCAGCACCGAGCCTAACAAGCTTACACTTTTACACTAATTCAGTCGGGGTTCATATTTTCAAAAGTCACGGTGTTGAATGCCATTTTGTCAAAAATTATCCCAACGTCGGGATAAAAATTTTAATAAAGAATAACAAACTCTGATAGGGTTTTATATAAATAATATGGCTTTCGAAAAATAACTAGCAAAAAAGTGCTTTAAAGAGTTTTTTAAATTCTATATATCCAAGAAATTAGCAGAATCACTTTAAATTCCAACAATTTTAGATGCACTCTTACTTCTACCAAGGAGAAGTTGGTAAATGGTACCGAGCCTCAGATGTTATATCTAACGTCCCACAGATCCTCTGCAAGAAAGGATATCCGAAAAAAGTTTAAACGGGTTAGGGGAGGTTTTGTGTGAAGAATATTTTGATGAATAAAAACAATTTGGTTGCCCTGTAGTTACGCGCCGTCGTAAGCTTGGATCTGGAAATCCAACTGTGCACATTTTTCTAAGAGTTTGCTCCCGAACGTCAGTTCAAATTTTTCACGCAAGCCAAAAATTTTTAAATCACCAAGACGCCGGCCCGCCGAGCCTCTGAAGATTTTTCAAAAAGTCGTACGCCTATCTCGTGGATCTATGATGCTTTTCGTGCTGCTAATATTGTCTTTGCCCAGCAATCACCCTACAAAAAGCATAAAAGTTATCTTTATTCAACCGCAACCCTTCAAAATCGCCAACTACGCCCCGATTAGCCATTGTGTAGTGGATTGCGTCTCGATGAGGGGCACGTTATTCCCTTACCGGGGGTTTTACGTTAAAACGTAACAACTGGTAATGTTTTAATATTTGAAACGGATATTTTAACATTTTTAGCTTAAGGCGAACGATAAAAGATATGTAGATAAAAGGTCTCATACAAACCTTACAGCCGGTGACTGCACCACGTTTAACGGCCCACCATTCGGTTTAAAGAAGATGATGTCGATGCGCCTCCAAAGTCTCAATGCAGAGACAGCAAGAGATTGATTCGTAAGTGACGCTGAAAACCAAATGACGATCGTAGGCGCTTTACAGTTCAAACCTGTGACAGTGGGTTCACGTTTTTTTCCCGGGGCTACTGCCACCTTGTAAGTCGCCCGATTCTGGTTTCGCCCTATTTAAGGCTTAAAAAATCAGGGCACATTTGATCACCTGTTACGTAGGCGCCTATACACGCCCAGAAACAAAGCGAATGAGAGCAAGGGAGACACATGCGCAGCTAGACCCTCACCTAGCTTTTTCAGGCCTTGTCAGGACGATTTTCTACCCAAACTGCTGGCGCGGCTCGGTGCAAAACATTGAATTCAACTCTGGCCTCCATCCATTCCAAGTTCGAGAATGCATCTGGAGTTGTCCTCAACTGCCTTCTTCTTCATCGACGTTTACCTTTTCCACCTAGGACTGACCTACGGTTTGATGGGCGAGCTAAATGCGTACAACTGGTATCGTCCTTCGGTTTTGCTGGGCGGGATACAAGACAACGTCACGAGAGGTGCTTTTAAAACCTTATTTTTTCGTTTTGCTATTAACTTTAGTCGTCGGACTGTCGAATACGATTTCGAAACTGTCGGAATTTTTCGAACGTTGACATTTTTCCAGCTTCGGCAATTCGATTTCATAGCTTTCAATCGCAGGCATTTACTGGCTCGATGGCGGCGCCGTCAACTATACTAATTACCCCGCCACGCAGGTTACATCAACGAAAGGCATCGGCATTACCGTGAGTCTGTTTCGGCATTTTTGCATGAAAAATTGCGAAATATTTAACCAACAACGGAAGTATCAAATTCAGATGCACTCCTACATGAACAATGGAAAGATTGGACAGTGGTTCCGGTCGCCAAATGTTTTAAAGGATTTTCCAAAGATCGTCTGCAAAAAAAACCGTGGTTTTAAATTTTTAAGTTTTTTGCACTTCTGGTCACAAATTCAGGTATTTATGGCTACAACCAATCAAAGGTTTCGCTACGATTATCATGAATTTCATAACGTTAAATCTCCTTACCTTGGTGCAGAAATAAAGCTCGAAATAACAAATGTAAAAAAGCTAAAGCCAAAACCTAGTCTTTCTTTCCCCTTTGATTCACCGGACCGTTAATTCCAAGTGTCTTCGACTAAAAAACGCTCCTTCGAAATCGGACCGATCAACTTGAATTAGTGACCAAAAGTGCAAAAAACTTAAAAATATTTTTCTTGATGACTTGTAGGACCTTCACAGCACTTCTGAAGCAAAAAGCAAAAAAGTCGCCAGCGGCAAGACTCGAACGAACGACCCCTAGGGTGACTCGAACGAACGACCCAACTGATGGGTCCTTCCCTCTGGGGAGGGGCTTTGAGGTGGGGCCGCCGAACCTGGCAAAACTTTAAATCGATTTTTAACTATGTTCCTGTGGCGCTCGGCAAAAATAAATAGCGGTATCGTTATCAGCGTGAAAAACTGCATAAGATAGGCTATATAGCTAGTCGAAGTCCAACTTCGAGCTGGGGAGGTTCCCTTGTTAGACGACCAGACGGTTTGCAGATAAATGCAGAAAGTTGAATAAATAATTTTTATGGTTAATAAGGTGCGGTGCCTTGATGCCAAGATCCGCACCAACAGAACGGCCGCTTCACCCAAAAGCTTCTCCTCCAAATTAGCTTCCCGTCAGCTCGATTAACTCAAATCCCAAAAGAGGCCGCGTGTGTCTGTGACGAACTTCTGCGGCCTCGTGCAAAATTTTTGCTGCCTTTTATGCTTTTGCTACTATTATTACCATTATTTCCTGACTCGACACCCACATCAATGACCTTTGTCCAACAGCGTCGCTACCTGATTTATCCGAGTTTTACGGCCATCAATTTGTGCGCGCTGGATTGTATCGCGATGCGGAAAACCACTTATTCTTGCAAGGGCTTCAACATTACGGCTGGTAAAGTAAAATTTATTGGGAAGAATAGGCAATATAAGACTATTTAAGAGTAGCTTCATCCAAAATTGAGAAGCATAAATTTTTGATCGACTTAAGGTACTCAAAAATTAAAGTATCGGATTCGATGCGAAGCAAAATTCGAAATAAGTTAGCAAAAATCATTGGAAACACGCCAATAATTTGTCTGTGATTTGGATTTGACAGGCTATTTTAAAGCGTGTAAACTCGTTTAGATACCTCAAGGTGGCAAGCCTGCTATCCTATAAAAACACAAAATTTGAAATAGTTTCGCTAAATATATTATAACTCGTTACATTGAATCTATATACCATGTTTAGGAAATGTCTGCACCTACCCTTTCAACGGCAAAATGGATTTCCTAATTCAGGCAAAACCTAAAAATGGACAATGCAGAAACAGCGCACCTTTGAGTCGTAAATCCTAATCCGTTAAAATTTAATCGCTTTTTTCTAGTTCGGGTCTGTACCGCAGGCTTCCTGTTTTTTCGGGGTTATTGCTACAAGGTTGGCCGATTTTTAGTTTGCAAATTCGTCGAGATTTTTTAGGTTTTCCCAGGGCCAGTCATCACTATAGACATTGCTAAACTGACTTGCCAATTGAACGGTGCCGCCCTCGCCTCCATCCATAGCGACGCCGAAAATGAATTTATTTGGAGTTGGTTTCGATTGCGAAATTATCATGTTATCTAGGGATGATGTACGGGGCAAAGGGTCCAACTAACAAATACGGCTGGAGCCCGGCAACGGTTTTGATAGGTGGAGTACAGTCGACGGGCGCTAGAGGTAATGTTAACGTATTATTCATTTAACTCGAGAATTTATATCCAATATATTCTGGAAAAAAAACTGTTTTTCAGGCTTCTACTGGACCGATGGAAGCGCCGTGAATTACACAAATTTTGCAGCCAACCAGATAAAAACGCTGGACAGAGCGATTGTCGTGAGTTTTTTTATCGCTCGCCCTGCTTAACTAGGGATGCCTTCCAACAAAATTGGTGAGCTTATAGAGCTTGAGCTTGCGATTCCGATGCGCTAAAAATTTTAACAAATCGTCCATAGGCGGTGCGTGCGGTGCGTGCGGAGAAGAGGCCTCTCTGGCACCCCTCCGGCTTGGCAGCGTGGCCTAGAGGTAGAGCTCTCGCTTCAAAACTTTTTGGTCGAGGGTTCAATTCCGGCCACCAACTTTTTTTTGAAAAAAACTTTTAAAGTTTTTTGCCAAACTTTTTGCGATTGTTTTACAATGCTATAGCGAAGGATGAAGAAACACAGGGAAATCTCTAGCGTCATTTTATCAGATTCGAGAATCTTCACAGCCCGCTATCTTTCGATTCCGACAGAGAATACAAAATAATAATGCAGGTAAAAAATTTGGCAAAAAGCTTTAAAGGTTTTTTCAAAAAAGTTGGTGGCCGGAATTGAACCCCGGACCAAAAGTTTTTGAAGCGTGAGCTCTACCTCTAGGCCACGCTGCCATGCCGGAGGGGTGCCAGAGAGGCCTCTTCTCCGCACGCCCCGTTCAGGGCCGGCGGGGACGAAACGCGAAAAAATCATGCATTTTTGCCAAAATTAAACTTGTTATATCTCAGCCGCCTATGGACGATTTGTTAAAATTTATAGCGCATCGGAATCGCAAGCTCAAACTCTATAAGCTCACCAATTTCAAGTCGAATCTCGATGGTAAGTTCGGAGGCATCCCTAGTAAGCCGAAGCCTAAGCTACCAGTACGTTTCAGATGCATACCTACATGTTCCAAGGCCTGATTGGGCAGTGGTACCGAACCGCAGATTATGTCGCCTACTACCCACAGATCATCTGCAAGCGGCCCCCCTAAATCGGAAAAGAAGCGCTTTCGCGCTTGATACCCGCAGGAAATAAATACATTGATTTTTTTGAGCCAGTTAGACTTCTGTGAACCGCGACAGCTACAAGACCATGGGTGACAGAGAGACCTAATTGTAAGCCAAGTCTAAATTCGAGGCTGAATTCAAAGCCACAGCCTCAGCTTAATCGAAGCCACACTCGATCCTAAACCTAGACCCAAGCCTAAGCCATAGCTTAAGCCTAAGGCTTAGCCTAAACTTAATCATAAGCCTAAGCCTAAGCCTAAACAAATACCTACAATGACATTTTTTTTACATTATATCTGCGAGATTATGAGCTATTTTTGTGGCCATCCGTTGGCCGCAGTCGCCTAGGAGTGGGCGTTGGCCCCTGAGCGTCAACTCTATTTTCTAAAGCACCGCATCAATTCTCTTTCGGATCACCCAAGTTACCCTTCCCGACCTAGACATCTCAAAAGCTTTGTGCGCCACTGTGCAGACCATCCTCTTTCCCATGGCGTTTTCAGAATTCCGATAAAATAAGAGTTTACAAAGTAAAGCCAGTTTTATTCATTTTTGGGGGCCGGCATTCATTTGTATAATCTGAAAAAAATACAAATTTCCTCATTGTTGCCAGTAGTACTCGCCAGTTCGGCCGGGAAAGGGGAGGGGTCCGAAAGACTCGAGCCATTGGAAAGTCAAATTTCTCATGGAAAGGCCGCATTCCAGCGCCCAAGGCCCGCGAAGCCGGTTTCGGGCGCTGGTCTAAATTATTTCGGGCCATAAGATGGGGCATGGTCGCGTTACGGCCGTATCTGGCTATTATCCAGGGATCAACGCCTTGGGGTGTGGATCAGACTGCTGTGCCCCTTTAAGACCCGGACAAATGCCTTTTTGGAAGGGCTTGTACCAGGCTGATGACGTGGTTTCAGCTATCAACTGGCCATATCAGCTACACCGAAGCTACGCAAATTTTGCGGATGACAATCAACCGTACAAAGGGCGCCTCCTAATTGTAGTAAGCGAAATTTTCAACGTAGAATTGATCGTGCAAGAAAAGAAATTTTCTGCACCCTAAATGCAATCGTACGGACCAGAAGGAGTGGTTGGCAAATGGTCTCGGGTTCAGCAGTCTGGGGGAAAATACCCGCAATATGTTTGCAAGAGGCTTCTCTATTGAAACGATAATTGAGGAAAAACCTGATAATAGATGGCTTTCGCGTGGGATGAAATAAATATTTGGGTAGCTTGACCCTCACTGAAGCCATGCAGATAGGCAAAAGCCTCTTTCTCTCTCTCTCTCTCTCTGTCTCTCTCTCTCTCTCTCTCTCTGTCTCTCTCTCTCTCTCTCTCTCTCTCTTGCCCCCTATCTCTGAGTTTTTAATGTCCCTCTGAGCCCTAATAAACTATTCGATAATTCTTGTGCCGTTTTCCGTCGTATTTTTTACCGCACCAATACCGTATAGTCACATTTAACATTGATAATTGATAACAGGTTGAGCAGTATAGGGGAGAAATGCAAATAGTATACATGCGATGACGTTTCTTCAATGAAAGCTGTTTAGATATAAGCGATAAGAGATGAGGGATCAATCATGCCATTACATACAAAGAGAGCGAGAGAAAGGGAGAGAGAGTTAGAGAGAGGGAAAGAGAGAGAGAGAGAGATAGAGAGAGCAATTCATTTTCAGGAAATTCATGCCCGGTACGTTACGAGGTGTTCGGGAAGGCGCTGCGTTTGCTCGATCTCCAGTTGACGATCCCTAAAATCTCGCTATTTGATTCTGATTTCTGCGCCTAAAATGTCACCTTCAACAAGTGGCACCAACCTAACATATCGATAATACTGGTACATGATGAAGCTCGGCCAAATCAATCCCAGGACGGCCGAGAACATTGTTTCAGCTTTGGCTAAATTTTTTAAGTAAGCAATTTTTTGGGGACTTACATTTGGGTTCGGGGATATCATCAGCTTCCCCGTGCTTTTTCCCGTATTCGTAAATCTGTCGACGGACCGCTTCGAGCTCAGCGTCCCATAAAAACCAGGTGAGGGCTAGGCTGATGATTTCACTAACGAACTGAAAAAATGTAGCAATTTTGGTTAGATATATATTCTCTTTCTCTCTCCTTATCTCTCTCTCTCTCTCTCTCTCTCTCTCTCTCTCTCTGGCCCTGTCTCCCCGCCTCTATCGTCTCTCTCTCTCTCTATTTCTCTCCCGCTCTCTCTCCGTGGCATTGTCTCACTCTTTCGTTCCCGCTCTCTCTCTCTCTCTCTCTCATCTTTCGTTCTCTCACTCTCTCTCTCTCTCTTTCTCTCTCCTCTCTCTCTCTCTCTCTCTCTCTCTTTCACTCTCTCTCGCTCTCTCCCATCTGTCTGTCTCTCTACAGAAACTCCCGGAAATCTGTGTAAGCAGAATTCCACCAAGATCCGCCCTTAACATCCCTTATTAATTCTAAACCCACAAAAACGATCATAAACGCCTGCATGTAGCTGGGCTTCAACGTCTGGATGGTACGCAGGGCAAAGTATAGGGCAACCCAGCCGAGGACCCACACGTAAAACTAAAACATAGATTATTTACATAACAGCGTTTGAAACTACCATAGGATGTTTCAAGAGAAGCGGAAGCACAGCGGGCTTGGCGGCAATCATAAAGATCATGATTCCAATCAGCACCACCAGGGCGATGGTGCCAATGATTGCGTCAAAGGTGAAGCAGCACTAAAATGGTTCAATTTTCGCAATGGGGTGTCGGTTACATACCTTGGCTGTACAACCACAGCATCCGCAGCATCGGTAATTTTCCGGGAGGACCGGGGTTTTTGGTTGATGTTCCGGCCGCCAGAGCCAGATCGGAAACGCCATTTTTTGCCTGCAAACTTCTAGAAATTTTTGAAAATCAAAAGAAAGCAATGAATGGGACATGGAAGCTAAGCGTAATGCGCTGGTAGCGGGGGGGCGGCCGAGGAGGGTGAGGGGCGATTTTCCTTCGGTAATAATTTCCAGCAAAATACTGAAAAACCGTCGAAAAAGGCTAGATTTTTGAGTAATTTAAAAATTTCCCAGTAATCAGATGTACTATTACAGTGCTAAAAAGCGCACTAAATATATTGCCAGGCAATTCTGAATAAAAAATAAAAGCTAGCTCCCCCGCTAGCAGTCCAGTCCCGACTAAACTTCAAGAAAAAAAACACCGATACTTTTCGCCGGCTGCGGCTGTGAGCTGCGCCTCACGTTTGGCCTAGTGGGATGGGGATGCTCCCGGGGGCTTGGGCTTCCATTTTTTTTGGGGCGAGAAAGGGCGGTGATCGCAGAAGAGAGTGAGTGAGGGATAGATGAGGGAGAAAGAGGAGGAGAAAGAGGGCACATGAGGAACTTGTTGTATGGCACCCCCGCTGGCATCGGGCCATGTGTTTATATACGATGGCCCACGGCAAGGAAAGGTCATCTTTTGAGTGGATCGGGTCGAGCCTTTAAAGGGGCTAACCTCCCCAGCGGTTTATCCAAAAAATTCGGGGGCCCCGAAAAAAATAGTCTTAGCAAAATTCGAGGATCCACGGAGATAGGTGAGCAAACGAAAGGCGTACTGCATAAATGTTTTAGGGTAAAATGGCCTTTTAGGCAGCCGTGAATTATATGTCGTAATGCCCAACGCTTCATTGCGTGACCTTCAGCGTCCTGGTTCAAATTCGAGGATGGAAAAAGGTTCATCTGATGATTAAAACCGAATCGTTGAAAAATTTCCTTGTATTTCCGATTAGAGAGCGCGCCCTAGTGAGAGGCGCAAACATTTCGCATGCAAATTTTTCCACGGTTCGTGGAAAACGGAAATGTGAAAACGCTCCTTTAAAGGGGCTCGGAAGTCAAAATTCGCGCGTGCGGGGATTGAACCTACGGGTCAGAAAACGAAAGGATCACTGCCGAGAAGTGCCAGAAAAGTGATTTGATTGCCAAAAAAAACGTAAAATGTTTGAGAAAACCCGAATTCTTTTTGGGGCGAAAACGACATATTGAGTGCGCGGCGATTACGTGTCGTAATGCCTTGTAAGGCACCCAATCTCTCGGTCTCGGTGATTCTCTGGTCAATTTTCATAATTTAAAAGTCTAGAATGATCAAAATTCAACGAGGATTTCAAACATAGTATCAGAATTTTGAAATTCAAGCGTTTTCACGTCAAAACCGGGACAAAAGGCCATGCGGCGCGGTCGCGTTGCGGCCGCATCTTGCTATTTACCAGGAATCAGAACAGGGGGCCGTGGACCAGATTTCGGAGCCCCTTTAACTAGTTCAGAAAGCACATCGCAAATCGCAAAGTTTATCACGGAAATTTGTGGATGCGATCAGGTTATGGTATCGAATGCTTAATTAGCCATTTAGGCTTTCAGAGGTTCAGCGTGCATCGGAAGCTGCTCGAAATGCTCAATCTCAAGGGGACGGTCCATGCAAATGCACCGTTTTTTGATGTTGAGCTCAAGCATACCTGATGTATCGATAATACTGGATTACGACAAAGTCCACCCATATCGTAATGATTATCGACGGCAGCATGGGTTGTATCGGATCTAAAGAAAACCAGAATTAAGGTGCGCCTTTATTAAGATCCTACTTGTCGGCACCACTTCCTGATGTCGTGCGCCCATGCCTCTTCAGGATGCCAGTAGTTCACGGTGCATTCTGGAAAGTCCTCATATACCAAATCTAAAGACCCTCACGTCTGTAGCCTATTCGAGAAGATATAGCTCGAAATGAAGACGACGGCTTCGAGCGCGAACTAAAATCTCCTATACCATTATCGGGTTTTAAGCCGAAAAGCTCACAAAGATTAATTATCATGAATCCCTGCATGTAGCTTGGAGTCAGTGTTTGGAGAGTGCGAACGGCCAATAATGCAACGACACCGTTGAGTAACCAGTGGTAAAACTAAATTTCTCTGTTGCTTTTGCACGCTAAAACTGACGCCGGGATGCTTCAGTAGCCGGAGGATGTAGTCGCGTTGCTGCAGTAGGAGGATGTCGACCAGGCCGAAGCCGAGCAGCCAGAAGGACGCCCAAATGACGGAACAACAGGTGAACCAGCACTGAAAATGGGGGATTTCGGATTTGCTCGTTGCGATTTGTACTTTGGAAGTGCAACCGCAACATCCGCAGCAAAGATATTGCTTTGGTTGCACTGGGGTTTTTGGATGATGACTTGGATGCCACAGCCAGATTGGGAAGCCCATGTTTGTCTGATTTGGCTCAGACCTCTAATTGCTTAAATTGAAGCCATGATTAGAGAGAGAGAAGAGAGAGGAGAGAGAGAGAGGGGGAGAGAAAGCGAAGAGAATGCGTCTTAAAAGACAAGTTATAAGTTACTTAGTAGTAATTAACAAACAAAGAGAACGAAGTATCGAGTGTCGAGAGCATTAGATGTCGTGGCCAGGCCGGGTCCAAACAGCAAAAATAAATCCGGCTGTTGGCTCGGCGGCACAGGGAATATTTTTAGCATTCGGACCAGGCGGAGGGCATCGGATGGCCACCGGAAGAAGAAGATGAGGAAGAACCGGGAGAGAGGGGGGGAGAGAGGGGAGAGAAAATGAGAGAGAGATGTGGTGTGCTGTGTTGTGGTGCTGTGGTGGTGTGAGAGATGCCAATGTGCCGGCCGTTCATTCATCTCGTTTTCGAGCCCCAAAAAAGCGGTGGAGCGGCTTTTGCGGTGCTTGCTAGTAAAAAAAATCAAAGAAATTGGGGTTTTTTTTCTTTCGTGAAAATGGGGATGGCCACTAACGTTTAATGTACCCATCTTTCCCAGAAATGCTCTTCGTTTTAACTGCCGCTTGGAGCCTCACCCAGCACAGAAACTTAATGAGCAGCGACCGCAGAACGAGGGGCGTGTGCTGGGGAGCCGGGCCATTTTTTTCCGGGTAGAAAAAGCCGTGCGTTCGAGAGAGCGTCAGGGTGGGAGAGAGAGCGAAAAAGAGAGAGGGACGCAGAATTAGGGAACGGGTAGATTGCTGGCATTTGGAGGCTTGTGTTCCGTTTCCCGTCCACCAAAGGGCTATTTCGAGGTCCAGCCGGCGGTTGTTGAGTTGCAGCGTTGGCCTAACAGAAAATTCATGGTGTAAATTGATTCCTAAAGATCACAATGTGCAGATTAAAACTGATGAAAGCTGATGCGTGACTGGGCATCAGGAAATCTTGAGACAATCACAGTGGAAAATCAATCATCATAAATATTATTAGGAATCCCGTTCCTTTAAAGAGTATCTCTCTCTCCCCCCCTCTCTCTCTCTCGCCCTGTCAGATTCGTTCCTAGAAGCCCACCAAGTATGGAGGCCATCACTCAATTTTCCCAAAACGACCCGGCCACCTAAAAATCACCACAGCGACCCAACTCTGCTTTAAGGCCTGGAAGCTCCCGGCACGCAGTGCTACTTTTGCGTCTTATGTTTTTGCTGCTGTTTTCTTTAATTCCCTCAATCTACAGTATCCAAAATATCACCAAAATCTACTTTCAACAAGACACCACACTGACCTACCCAGATCTCACGGAGATTTTTGAATGCGGTTTCGACTGCGCGGCGTTTAGCGGCACGAACGTGGACTGTAATGGGTTTAACTATACAAAAAGTGAGTTAGCAATTTTTAATAGGATTTTGCACCGACTTTTTAGCCAATAAATGCTCTTATCCTCTGAGCGGACCCTGGGATTTTAAGGCGGGATTGGAGGGAGATATCAAGCCGACGCAAAGTAAGAATGTAAGATCGAGGCACGGTAAGAATATTTACGACAAAGACAATGGATAGTTTAAGCCCCAAATTGCACCAAGCCGGGCTACAACTTTTTCCGGGGCTACTGCTATCGGGTTGGTGACCTTACCAGCGTACGATAATTTCCTTTAAAGTACTTTAACCGCAATGTGACGCGCGAAAATGCGCAAAAAGCTTGCGCCAACAGCGATGCAATGCTGGCTTCAATTCACAGCGACCGGGACAACGAGTTTGTCTGGCGTGCGTTTGTATAAGCAAAAAAACTAATTATTTATAGCTGGCCATCACTCTATTATTTAAATCAAAGATGAATTTCATTTGAGTTTAGTTTTTCAAACCGGAAAGCGCTAAAATGCCGACAACCGTAATACAGATATCAAAAATCCCGACAAACGAAAGGATTTTGTCTGGAAATTGTTTAAAGCAATCACAAAGAGCAAATCTAGTCTCTAATTAAATTTAGGCTTCAACTTAGCTCCTTAAATTATTTATATGCAAATCAAACCCAATTTTTGGGTACGATTCACGGAGGAAACAAGGTGGACGGAAGAGTGTTGCTCGGCGGCAATCAAACGGCTAATAGTAATATATTAGTCTACCTATCTCCTAAGATAAAAGATAAACCTAGGTATCTTATGGGAGGACGGCTCGCCGTTTAACTATTCCAATTTTGCAAACGCCAGCCAGCCCTACAATTCCGGGAATCCGATTATGGTAAGTGAGATCTGCGGCTCATAATTTGTTTGCATTTCGGTTTTTTTGTTATAATCGTTTTCTATGCTCTTCTAATTTTTCAGATACACGCTTTCAAGGAGGCGGGCATGTACGGAGGCTGGTATCGGCTTCTGAAGCCTTGGAAAAGCTATCCCGGCTTTGTCTGCCGCTTCGGCTGTCCATCCGAGAAATGTAACGCAGCATAAAGCGAGACAATTTTTGGAATAAAGCTTGAGCTTGTTTCTATCTCTCTCGATCTCTCGCGCTCTCTCTCTATCACTCTCTCACTCTCTTACTCTCATATCGCTCGCTCACTCTCACTCACTCTCTCTCTCTCTCCTCTCTCCCCTCTCTCTCGCTCTCTGATCTTTTACAGACCATCGAAAAATACATTGTACAAA